TTATTCGAGTTATACATTAAATACAACTCTTCAGCTGCCCTTAATTCATCATTCTCATTCAAGTCTAAATTCCTCTTTTATCACCATTCATATCGCGATTCATATAACGATTGGTTATTTATCAACTTCCGTCCCAGTCAAACGTCTGTTCAATCAATACTTTTATCAAAGCAATGAAGAGTTATCGATACTATTATCTATGTACCCACCATGCTGTCGCAGATGACTTAGTTGCTGTTCAACTTCTTCGGTTATCTAGAGGGAAACAAGTAATAATTGTAAGTTTCCGAACGATCTTGAACGGTGATCGAACACTGAATAACACTAAAGTCTAAACACAGAAGTGATATCTGCGTGAAGTCCAGAATAATCCAGAACTGATTAATCGAAAGACAATGATATTTTAGTCCTTATAGTTTATTATATATTTAAGTATTGTTATTTCAATTTAGCGAGAACATTGGTATAAAGTACAGTTGAGGTAAAATAAAATCAATACATAATGTACCTGTGTTGTTCCAAAGAAATTCCAAATAAATCGGAATTTATCATAGATTATGTAACACTAAGGATAAAAATGCTTACCTTCCGGATTTGCAATATTTAACTAATTACTTTAAAGCTGCCTCGATGAATTATGTTTCTGTTTATAATGTTTATAACTATTACAACACAAACACAGAGAAAAAAGTGGATGTTATACAGATAAGGAAAAAGTAGGATGTTACAATTCTTATTTTTTTGTTTATTTGGATTTTGCCCAAAGCTACCCTGTGCAAATCGTCCTAATTTTGAAGTGATAGAGGGTTTGTTTGTTTTTTGAATTTCGTGCAAAGAAGCTACACGAGGGCTATCGGCGCTAGTCGTCCCTAATTTAGCAGAGAAAGACTAGAAGGAAAACAGCTAGTCATCACCACCCAGTGCCAACTCTTGGGCTACTTTTTTACCAACGAATAGTGGGATTGACCGTCACATTATAGCGCTCCCACGGCTGAAAGGGCGAGCATGTTTGGTGGGTATTCGAACTCGCGACCCTCAGATTGCGAGTTGAGCGCCCTAACCACGTGACAATGCTAGATCGTGATAGAGGGAAAGCAATTAGTCAACATCACCCACCACCAATTCTTGGGCTACTCTTCTCGGACCAAATAGTTGGATTTCACGATTACTCTTATAACGCACCTAAAGCCCAAAACTTCGGAAAATGATTTGTTTGTGTCCGTGAGGGGACGAGAATCACAGAACCTTAAGTTCACAGTCAGGCACACAAAAAAGTGAGCCGAGTTGGGGGTGTTGTAATTACTTTCCTTCTTGATATCGTGCCTAGAAGTAGAATGTGCGTTTGACATCACTGAAACATTTTAAAAATGTTTTTTCTACTTTCAGAAAAAAAACTAGCATTTAGTACAATTTTGAGATAACTAATCAGCAAAGAAATAATAAATCATTTTGTCATTGGAGTTAAAAAAAGGTCAGTAACAAAGATAATTTACAATCACCTTAATAAAAGGTATTATCTGTCTTCTCCGTAAATTAATGATAAAGATTTTACGTTTAAGCTCCGAGTTTGTATGTTAATAGTCTAGTTGAAGTAGTAGAAGATTTTAATTTTGCTTTTAAAGAGTAGTAAAATTGGTCGATAATAGGCCAATTAGTTCCAAATTAGGCAATTTTGTCTAACAAAGCAATAAGGGCGATAAAAAACTAGTCTTAATACTCAGGTTAGACAAGCTCTTTAAAAGTCTAGCAAGTTCGTAATATGAAATTATCCAATTATTCTAATGAGGTTTTTATAAAGTATTTAACGAATCACGCATTTACAAGAAAGTTTCAAGGTTATTTATGAAGAACGAAAAATGACAGAACCTAACAATCTTTCTCAAGAAATGCCATAAAACGTTAAATGAGGTAAAATAAGTTACTGTCCTGATTTTGTTCCAATACTAACCAATGTTTATAGCCTGGCATGGCCTAGTAATTAGAGAGCTCGACTCTACGTAATCTGTGGATTGCAGGGATCGAAACACGGCGACGAATACGCTTGCTCTTTCACTCGTGGTGGTGGTGTTATAATGTTATGGTCAAGCCCATTATACGTTGGTAAAAGGGTAGGTCAAGAATTGGCGTAGTATGCTGCAGGCCACTTGCCTTCTCTCTGGTCAACAGTTCAAAATTAATGACCATTGTAAATTTGACACTCTCTCAATCTTCTCAAGAAATGCCATAAAACGTTAAATGAGGTAAAATAAGTTACTGTCCTGATTTTGTTCCAATACTAACCAATGTTTATAGCCTGGCATGGCCTAGTAATTAGAGAGATCGACTCTACGTAATCTGTGGATTGC